AGCTTTGTCGGACGCCGAACATTATGGTATATTTAAATGTTCATAAACTTGTTTTTTTATGTATTGTTACTTTTAAACCTAGTGCTAATACTTAAGCTAATACTCTTCCAGTTTATCACTGTTTGAAGTAAAATTTGAGTATATGCTAAGACTAGTTTTGTAAATTAGGAACAAAAAGGAATCCGTAGTTGTGGTTTCTTTGAAAGTTTTAGGAGCGCATCGTTACCGAGTTGGAGCTGTATCATCATTTCACCGAACACCCGAGCTACTCAAGTCGCATTGTTCTGTCGATTCTGGGTTAGATTCGCCAATCAGCAACTGCGCACTGCTGTTTAAGGAGGTAAGCATGTAATAGGACTTTACTGACTATTGTGATGTATGGTTAATTTTTACTGCTAGCCTAAGTTTATTCAATATTCCTTTCATTGTTTTCATTCATCATCATCTTCATCCACTTTGTCGTTGTCATCGTAGTTTTTGGCAATGGCAGTAACTGAAAATGGAATAATGGTGGTAGTACGCAAAGTACTTTTGGTGTTTCAGAAGTGCAACAGAAATGTGATCTGCCAAGAATGGTAGTGTTACTTGCATAATGTAGTCAAAAATCCGAAGTACTCTTGTAGTGCAAAGAAAATGGGGGAACTGGAGAGAATTTCAGTTGTTTAATACATTACTAACGCTTATTCAGTTTGAATAAGCCGCTTGGCCATTGGCTATATGATGCGTTGTCCTAATTACAAAATCCTATCGAATTCCATGGCATTACAAGCATTTATTTTTGAACCTTTTAAAAAATTTTTTTGTTGTTGGAACGATCTTTGATTAATACTGTTCATAAGATGTTTTATGCAACTACAATGTTCTTGCAATGCAAGAACATTGGAATTTGAGTTGTTGCAGTAAAGTTTGAGGGAACTGTAGTTGTAGATAGTAGTCGCTTGAGGAACAGGTTCACTGATCATTTTGCACACAGTTGTAACAAAGAGAGCAAGAACACAGATGTGTGTGCAGAGCAGTAGCCGATAAAATTCCACTGTTTTGTGTAACGACTGTGTTATTCTTAGCTACTTTAGAAATTCCTCGCTTCTTATTCCACTGAAAAAAGGGAAGCAAAAAAAAAAAAGACAAGCTGTTTCGTCCGTTATTCGAGCAGTATTTATCGCTTCATTATGAGTTATGGATTATAAGATACCACTTTAATTGTTGAAGAATAATTTTGAAAAGAAAAAACAGTGGAAAAAACATCTGTCTGTTATTAGAGGAAAAGAAAACTGTGCTGACTGTCGGACCTAACACAATGTGCTAACCACCAGTTACAAGAAACGCAACTTTTGAAACAAACTTTAAAGGGTTAAGTCCTGTGGCCTAATCTTTGAAGTACAATATTTTTTAATAAGAAGAGTTTACAGAAGTCAGCACAACGGGTGCCTGGGGATTGATGGCAATTTCACTAGTGACAGAATTCTCTTTGCACATCTGTAACATTGTTCTTTTAACCGATTAGCTTTGGGAAATTTTTCGTTTTTACTTGTTTTCAATAGGCGGCATTGCTGCTATAAACGACATATTTTGTGCTTCATCCCTTTTGTTTTTTTGGCTTTTTCTTTCACTTTTTTTTATTATCTAGTCCTTAAAATGATGTAGTATATTCTGTCTTGGTTGTTAACGGAGATCTGTTTTCAAAGTCAGATTAAAATACTGACAACAGTGGTAATTTTCTAAAAGTGTTGCTTTCTTCCTTGCTTTATTTACCTATTTATCTATTTTTATAAATAACAGTAACTAAATATAAAAGATTTTAACAAATTAACTTTTCAGGTAGATTTGATTATAAGTAAAACAGGAAATTGAAGGAGAAATAGAACACTGATTACGGTTATTTGGAGGGTGAGAGGGGGGGGA